CTTCCGGTTATTAGATGCGTAAGTTCCAGGGATCTATGTACAGCATGGTGGTTATAGTTCACAGTATGCTATTGTGTACTTGGAAGATGCCCTGAGAGTAGAGCTTGTATGTTCTCTCCATAGAAGCCCCCACAAAATGATAACTATAGGAGGTGAAGTTTACATACTTTACATTAACAGACATTAAAAAAGAAATGGAAATGCATTCTCATTGTGGCTATAAATAATATTTACACAATGTAAACTAATCGTTTACACAATGTAACTAATCTTATTGTGGTAAGGATTTTACAATATGTGGATCAAATCATCACATTGTACACATTAAACTTATACAATATTATATGTTCATTTTATTTTAGTAAGGCTAGAGGGAAGTTTTTCTGAGAGAAAATGATTCTAACCTAGAATTCTTTACCCAGCCAAACTGTCAATCAAATGTGAAAACAGAATAAATTATTCTGGGGTATGTACAATCTTAAAATTAACCATTTACTTACCCTTCTTTTAGAGCTATTGGTGGGATGTATTTCACCTCATGAGAGAGTATCAAGAAAGAAAAAAGATAGGATCCAGAACAGGAAATCCAACACAACAGGCCTTAAGAACAGGACAGAGGCCTCCGGAATATGAATATCTACAAGGAAAATAAAAAAAGATTACTTAACTATTTGAAGTTAAGGAGAGGAGATTGACACTTCTGTCACAAAGTTTAAAGATGAATTAGTAAGTGAGAGATACATAGATAACAAAATTAGTTATTAGCTCCAAGGAAACCAAAAACATTTAAAAAGAAAAAGAATGGAAATGCATTCTCATCGTGGCTACAAATAATATTTACACAATGTAAAGTGAATAACTTAGGCAAATTATGATAACTGATAAAGAGGGAGGAGGAAAGGGATGTGGGGGGGGGGCACAAGAATGTAAGAGGGCTAAAGTTTCACTGCCCATACTAAGAAATAGGTAATGAGGGAGAAGATTTAAAAAATCAGTGAACAATTAGCATGTATAGTGTCAGATGAAAAAAGAGACATGAAAGGACTTGCCCAGGAAAACAGAGCAAGTTAGAGGCAGATTTGAGTCTATGGCCATTCACTCCAAACTGGGTTGTGGGGTGTGGGGCACGGCGAGGGCTGTGCAACACAGAGAAGACAAGTAGTGATTTTACAGCGTCTTACTACGCTGATGGACAGTGACTGTGAAGGGGTATGTGGTGGGGACATGGTGAAGGGGGGAGCCTAGTAATCATAATGTAATTGTAGATTAATAATATCAAAATAAAAAAGGTAAAAAAAAATCAGTGAACGCACTGTAAGGTATGTGCTGGGGACTTCATAATAGGGGAGAGTGTAGCAGCCACAATGTTGCTCATGTGAAACCTGAGCATAAGATTGTATATATCAACAATATCTTAATTTAAAAAAAAATCAGTGAACAACAATAAAAGCATGCTATTTAGAAGCAAGCAGCAAACTCCTTAGCTGGAAGTGCTCACCATTATGAGCAAGGATGGAGGGTGAAGAGAGGCATGTTAATTATGCAGTTTGACTTTCATAGCTATGTATGTACTACCTTTATAAATAAAAATTAAAAATATTATTTAGCCAAAACTGATAGAACCTGGTGAAGAGGACAGAGAAGGGAAGCACAAGTGTATGTTTGAAAGAGCTTAGGAAAGAAATTATGTAGCCATAAGACAATGTCTGAAATGAAAAATCGAGGAAGCAGTGTATTCTGGCTTTCTGAAATACATAGGTGAACAATAGATGAAATAGCTTAAGAAATTGAAAGGATTGCTCCTGGAATGTCAGTAACGAAGTGAGGGGCAGGGGCACATTTGGGTAAGTAACCAAAATTGCTCTGGCAAAGGTCTTATTTCATTGCTATATAAAGGGTCTTGCAAATTGGTAAGAAACAGGAGCGTATAACGTAATAGAAAATAATAAAAGATTATTGTGGGCAAGTTGGAGTTCCTATGGCCAGGATCCTCACTGAACTTAAACCACCTGATGATGTAACTGGCCTGTTGCTAGGCTTCCACTGCCACACCCATAGGCAATAAGCTATTACTGCGCTATACAGAGAGCTCGGCCCAGTGCTCTGGGCAGAGGCAGAGACGCTAGTGCTCAACCTACCGCCGGAAGAATAAGCCTGGTAATAAACCCTTTCACCCCAAAGAACATTTTGCTATCAATTTCTTTGGTCACATTGAATCCATAGCGACTTTGCCCGGGGCTGAAACCCATTGGCAAGACAGTTAACTAGTAGGACAGATGGTCAGTATTTAAGTAGAAGTGTTCAACATCCTAAAAGAACCATTTTTTCACCAGTTAGATCTGCAAAGAAATGATACATACATAGTGTTAGCAAGAATGTAGAGAAGCGGGAAATCTCATGTTGACAATAGAGTAAATTAATATATTTTTAGAGAGTAATACAGCACTAACAAATTTTAAAAGTATGTATGCCCTTTGGATCTTCCGTTTGCTTTCTAGGAATCTACTGGGACAACCAGTAGCATCAGTTTCTTGGCATATTTTGGGGACGTACTTTAAAACCCCCACACCTGGGGTGCTTGTAAAAAAGTAAGATTCTCAGGGCCCATTTCAGTTCTAATGACAGGTAAGCTAGGGACATGCATTTTACATAAGCACCCCTCTCCCTGTATATAGTTCAGATGCAGATGGCCTGAAGTCTACACTTCAGTGAAAACACACTGCTTTGCCAGATGGTTCACTTGGTCTTCCGTAAGTAGTCTTGATTGGGTACACCTCCGTGTCTTTTGCTCACCTGTACAGAGCACATGCACGTCTTTTAAGTCCTGCGTAAGTCCAGTTACTGCCTTGGTGCCCCTGACAGGTGAGCTCTGTCTCCCTTGAATCTCTATAATTCCATCTTTTCCTGCTCTTGGCTCTGATTGCTTTGTCTCAATGCTACATTGCTAGTAGGGATTTAAAAATGATTGCCTTCCTTTGACCTGCTGTGTTGCCAGCAGAACTGTGACAACTCTGTAACAAGCGTTCTGCTACTTGGATTTAAAGGCAGTGTAATCATTGGAATGTAAGGAGGCTGGCTTAAAGCACACTTCTTGGTACTTAGTACTTTCACACAGGCATTTACCAAACACACGAGTCCCTGGTGTGTGCAAGGATTGGATTCAAGTATATGGTAGTGAAAGGAGACAGCTGTGCCCCCTGTGGATGATGAGGCAACCATGAACAGGTACACAAAAATGTGTTATCACAACTTTAAAGACATTCTAGGGAAGAAGAGAACAGATTACTATGATGTAAAACAATGGAAACCTACTTAAATAAAGTTTTCAGAGAGTCTGCCTGAAACTTGAAGGGCAATATGAAAGGAAGATGAAGGAGTGAAAGAGCTTAGTATGTTGTTAACAGCTGAAAGGGATTGGGGCGGCTCAGCTGAGGTTGGAGGGGTGAGCGAAGGCTGCTGTGGCCATGGTTGGGGTTTTCTTCTAGATGGGGTGTGCTCAGCTGGGTTGGCACGGTATCCAGCTTGGAGCTCTTCTAATTTAACACTTGTGGAAATAACTGGGAGGTTCAAATTATAGCCACAAATTCAACTGTAATGTATTGGAAAATAGGATTTCTATGTTGCTTGACAGGAAAGCTAAGAAGAAGTGCTCAAGCCTGAGTGGCTGTCGGGGTAGCTCTCCTCTCATCCCAGAACATAAACTGTGGGAATGACCGCAGCAGCAGGAGGCATTTGCATTGGACATAAAAACTCCTGCCTTTAGAGATCTTTATCCAGTATTCTAGATAAGAATGCTATTCATCTGATTCCATGTTTTTAAGTTCTGAGCTCAGTTTGTAGGTCAGATTTATCCATGTCCATCTCTCCATGCTCTCGGTTGTCAGCTGTTGATTCAGTTGTAGATTAGTTGTGGTGAACAAGGACAAGCGCAGTGAGAGCCCTGCCATCCTTGCCACGTAGCCAGCTGCTCCTCCTCTTCCAGTGCTCGTCCCAGTCCCTGCCTCCTGTAGGCCGTGCTGTATTCTGGGTGTTCGGAGGCCTAGTTCTTGCCAAATTTCCCCAGAGAAAGATAGCAGGACATTGGAAGATCTTTTTCTCTCACTCTTTTTCTGGTTACTTGTCAGCGAGAGGGTTGGATAAGATGGCCTCTGAGATTCTGTGTTAGCCCATGCGGTAATGCCATGACCCTCCTCTGAATTCACAGCATATGTTTATGCAGCAACAATTTAATATTTCTCCTTATTCTGTGTGATGACTGGGCAGCTTTGCTGGTCTTGACTGAGTGTTGTTGTGGGTTTTTTTATGGTCTTCCCTGTGTTCACTTGTGTGGCAGCACTTAGCTGACAAGTTGTTGGGAGCTGCACCCAGCTGGATCAGTGGGTTTCTGCACATAGTTTTTCATCCTCAAAGAGGCTAGACTGGCTTCTTCATATCATGGCAACATCATTCCAGGAGAGCAAGCCCCGATGCTCAAGCATTTCATCCTCTGCTTGCTTCAGATTTGATAATGTCCCATTGGCCAAATCAAGTCACACAGCCAGTACTAAAGTGTGAACATGTAAGGCAAGACTCAGTAGGGCCATTAATTGAACAGTCTGCCGCAGCCCTCATGCTAAATTACCTACCTTCTCTAATGAGGATTTCCTAAAGTGATTTTGTTAAAAATCTCATGGAATTACTTGAAATTACCAATCTAATACACGCATGATGTAGTTGACTGGACTATACATGTTTTATTTGCAGGATTAGAGCCCCTGGGTAGGTACTGAATCAGACTAAGTTTAATCACAAACTACTTTTCATAGGATAAAATTTAAGCGTTTAATATTACATTATAAAGCTACTTCTTAGTCACCCTGGACTTTCATGTTAGTTTTTGATGTGGACTACTAAACATTTTCGTGAGTCAGTTACTTAAAAGAAAATTTTAATTTATATTGCAACAGTGAAGTAAAATGTCTAATAATCTATGTTGGGGGGATTGTCTGTTTGTTTTTTAGCTCTTCAGAGAAGTAAGAATAATGAAGATTTTAAATCATCCAAACATAGGTACTTTTGCTTTCTTAAATACTTTTGGGGCTAAATGCATTCTTGAAAGTCTTTCATAAAGCTAAACAAATTCTAGGCGTGCCAGGAAATTCCTTCCCTCTTCCTAGCCCAGGTAGACTTTTAATAAAATATGTTTATAAATTGTTGATCATTTGTGTTTCTGCAGTTACTAAAGATAGGTTAAAAGCTTAGATAGTAAACATTTGAATTTAATGCTTTAATGCAGAATTTAATGCTTTAATGCAGTAGAAACGTCTGTAATCAGATTATAATTTTCTGATTGTTTTATACATTAGAAAATAACAATTGTATTAATTCATAGATGGAGAAGGGAATTATAATAAGTCAGTCTGAAGATTTTCAAAGGTACAACACTTTTTGCTGTGACTGTGTTTCTAAGAAAGGACTTATACATTGAATCATATTTTAAGAGATGTAGGGTACTTCCTATCTAATGAAATTTTGATAGGAATTGTTTTGTGCGGCACACATTTGTTTGGTGTCACCTATGTGCATAGCTTCGTGCTAGTTGTGATGAAGTGGATTTAAAGATGAGGGAAGGTCATGGTCCTGCCCTCATCATAGTTGTAGGGAAAAGATAGATTATGCAAATTACTCAATACTGACCTTGTATCAGTGAAAACTTTTAATCCCACATATATCACAATAGAGTTCTTTTTAAGTAATTGCTTTTCCACAGAGTGATAGCTCCTACAGTCCAAAAATATTATTTCAAGAGTGTAGTAGCTCTCAAGACAGCCAGTTTTATCACTTTACTATCAAAATCAGTTCTAGGAAGAGGGAGGGATGATAGCCTATCAAAAATGCTTGAGGCACTAGGAGAATAAAACAGAACCGCAGGAAGGAGGGGAAAAGCTTGTACCCAATTTAAACCAATCCAAGCCATCATCATTGCTGTTCTGTGTACTGCTAAGAAAAAAATGCTACCAAGCCATCATCCTATTACTGGTGATACTACTTAAAATGTGAAAAAATGTCTATCTTAGAATCAACAAAGTACATGTTTGGAGAAAAGGAAAATAACAATAGTGAGAAGAAAACTTTCTTCACTTTTCAGTTCAAACTTTTGGGGTCAGCTAGCCAACTCTGGGTTTCAGATTTCAACCTTTTACCAAACAAACATTTTATCACTACTGCCTAGAACTAGCTAACTTGAACATATTTATTTTGTTTTTTAGTTACTTAAGTTGTACCCTGACTAGAGCTCTCTCTGCTTACTACTAAATGACATATCTTTGATAATAGATTTAAACTTCTAAAAATTTGAATTTCATCTCTCAATTCAACAAACTTATATTAAATACTATGCTAGGCACTGTTTGGTCTAATACTCTGACAACATCAGAAAATAGCCTGCAATAGTAAGAGACTAACACTAGCACCCCACCACCACATTTTTGGTACATTTAATTTAAAATACATATTATCAAAATAAAGTGGATATGACAGCTCAGAAATTCAGTTTCATTTAAAAATGTACATGTTTCTGATTTTGTTATGGCTTATGAATTAGTAATACTAGAAATATTGCTGTCTGTAACGGGACTACTATAGCAAAGTCACACTGACTCATTGAAAATACTTCTTTTAAAAAAAGTTCTTCTCAACTAATTGCAGTGTAGTTCCTTCTCTTTTCCATCTCTGCCTTCAAAAAAGTGACAAAGGAACCTTGTTCTCTGAGAATTGTGATGTTTCCCAAGCAACAGAGTCTCGGTTGGAATTAAATATAATGACAAGTGAATGGACTGAAACTCGCAGGGTAGAGTAGATCTGAGCAATTCCTGCAGGCTGAATGTGAAATAAAAACAGTTTTCCTAAGGAGAAAAGGATGAGCTTCTGGAAGGGCAGCTAGTCAATAGAGATATAATATAGGACAATGAGAAGAGGACGTGAGGACAGGAACTTGATAGGCCGCTGAGTGCATACTGAAGTCACATCATTTCAGCACCCAGAAATAATCTGTATTTTTATGGAATTTCGTGCTCTCATAAAAATCTTTCTGTTATTGTAATACAACTACAATTCCCTAAAAGCACTTTTAAGAGAGCCAGCTATTAAAATTCCTAATAGGGAAGAAGTTACCTTTTGTAGTTATAGTTTATGTTACATTGACTGTGTGAACAGACATTTGTTTCTTTTTCTCTTCTCTCCCCTCTCCCAGTGAAGTTATTTGAAGTCATTGAAACTGACAAAACCCTCTACCTAATCATGGAGTATGCAAGTGGAGGTAAGAAATTTATATGTATTGTTTTTCCTTATTTATAGTAGATAACCACATTGTCCATATGGATAATTGTTAAGGTTTCATTTAACGTCCAGAGTCATAATACACTAGGAAGAGAATAAGAAAAGATGCTCTTAGCAGTTCTCTGGGTTGCTGTGAAGTGTTTCACTATTAGCATTATTAATTGATAATATCCAAATACTGTACTTGGATTTTCTATTGGAAAATATTCATAACATAAAATTTACCATTTTAGGTTTACAGTTCAGTAGCGTTAAGTATATTCACACTGTTGTGTAATGATTACCACCATTCATCTCAGAACTTTATTTTCCCAAACTGAAACTTTGTCTCCACTAAACAGGAACTTCCCTCCCCCAGCCCCTGGCACCCACCACTTTGCTTTTTGTCTGTGAATTTGACTCCTCTAGGGACCTCATGTGAGTGGAATTATACAGTATTTGTCCTTTTGTTTCAGTTAGCATAGTGTGCTCAAGGTTGTATTGTAGCATATGTCAAAATGTCCTTCCTTCTTAAGGCTGAGTAATATTCCTGTGTGTGTGTGTCTATCACATTTTGTTTATTCCAGGTACTTGGATTTTAAATATATCAGTGCATTAGCCTGTTGGAAATAACTGTGTACAGCATGTGGGGATGGTTTACTTTACCATATTTTAAGGTCATTGATGTATCTTTCCCAAGACCAGAAATGGTGGTTACATAAGTGTATATGTTTATATTTTCCTTAAAGTAAAGATTAAGGATTAGTAATTATTTGCCTACAAGGTTGTACAAATGTAGACATTTTTCTGAAATGCGTGTACAGAGCTGTTTACCTTTCACAGACTCTCATTTTAAGGTTGAGGTTGGGTTGAGGTTGGGCAAGCTTTGTCGTTTTTGGACTATATGTTTGTCTCATTTTCTTTGGAGGGCAGAAGCTTTTATTTTTGATCTTTGCAAGTTCCCTACCTCTAGCACAATGCATGGCACATGGAAGATACTCATCAAATAAGAAGTGAACTGAATTTATGAAATTATAAACTACTGAGGCCATATTCTGTTTAATTCTGCAGTATAACGTAAATCATTTTGGTTACAGTAGAGTTTTACTTTTTTCTTTTTTTTTTACTTTGGTATCATTGATCTTCAATTACATGAGGAACATTATGTTTACTAGACTCCCTCTGTCACCAAGTTCCCCCCCACTTACCCCATTACAGTCACTGTCCATCAGCATAGTAAGATGCTATAAAATCACTACTTGTCTTCTCTGTGTTGTACAGCCCTCCCTGTGTAACCCCCACCCTACATTATGTCTGCTAATGGTAATGCACCCATTTTTTTTCCCCCTTATCCCTCCCTTCCCACCCATCCTCCCCAGTCCCTTTCCCTTGGGTAACTGTTAGTCCATTCTTGGGTTCTGTGATTGTGCTGCTGTTTTGTTCCTTCAGTTTTTCTTTGTTCTTATACTCCACAGATGAGTGAAATCATTTGGTACTTGTCTTTCTCTGTCTGGCTTATTTCACTGAGCATAATACCCTCTAGCTCCATCCATGTTGTTGCAAATGGTAG